CTACCGTAGAATTTAAAATTCTGTAAGTATTTTAAAATATTATATTATTACTCTATAGTGCTTGCAAACAAACAAGTGTGTGGCCCCTCTGATGTCCAGCGGAAAGCTGTTCCATAATGTATGTGCCAGAGGTCATGCCTCTGGAATGACCTACCCCCCGACCTACGTACAGTTGCGGACCTGCGCCTTTTTCGCCGAGCCCTGAAGGCCCATCTATTCCGTGCGGCCGGCCTGGCGTAGTTTGATTATGTTTCAGTGGGGGGTTTTTTACGGGTGTGTTTTTAGAACAGGCCTGTTATTTAATTAGATTTTAAAACAAACTATTTATTTATTATTGTGGTTTTTAGTATCGCCTGTTCACCGCCCTGAGTCCCGCAAGGGAGATAGGGCGGTATATAAATTTAATAAATAAATAAATAAAATAAATTATGGCAAATCATTCTCTGCCCCCGACCTTTTTGGCACCAGGGATCAGTTTTGTGGAAGACAATTTTTCCACAGACCGGAGTTTGGTGGGGGAGCGTGCAACTGAGATCCCACGCATGTGCAGTTTGCAGTAGGGTTCGCTCATCTGCTGCTCACCTCCTGCTGTATGACCCAGTTCCTAATAGCACCAGTCTGTGGCCTGGGGATTGGGGACCCTTGCTTTACTGGCTTAATTCCCCCTGATTTTACAGAAGTACAGTATAGGATAGTCAATACCTTCTCCCAAAATGAGTGGGTAAATTCTTGCTGAAAAAGATGGTCCTGGACACACCACAAATGGCTAAATGGAGCAGCTTCTAAAGACTAACCAGAAAAAATTAAATTAGTGCAGAATATGGCAGCCTTATTGCTGCAAGGGTTAACTCCAGGCATGTATTATACTTATGCATAAGGCTCTGCATTGGTTGCTGAAAAGCTGTGTAAGTGCAATTCAGAGTACTAGTATTAACCTATAAAGCTGTATATGGTTGGCACTAGGGTGCTTTCAGGATTGACTCCTCCAACTAGCAATAGCTTATCACAGAAGAAACTCCTACTTACCCCACATTTTAGGGCAGGCATGTCAAACTCGCAACATCACGTGATGTCGCACAACCTATCGTGACTTTTACCCCATTGCCGGCAATGGGGTGGGTGCGGTTTCGGTGTGACGCATCTGGCCCTCGGGCCAGCAGTTTGGCATGCCTGTTTTAGGGTGATAAATGTGGCCAGGTACTTTTCTATTAGATAACTAATATTGTGCAATAGCCTCCCTGTAAATATTAGATTAACCTCCGCCTTAATGCTTTTCCCCCCGAAGAAGATATGGTTGGATTATTCAGAAGGACCTTTGGGAATAAATAATTTTCACTGTTCTTTTATTGAATCTTATTTTATATCCTGCCTTATTATTATTTCCTTTATAAATAACTCAAGGTGGCAAACGTACCTAATACCCTTCCTCTTTCTATTTGTCCCTTAACAATCTTGTAATGTGTAAAGCACAATATAAGACAAGAATAAACACAGTTATGTGTTGCATATAGTCTATAAAGTGGTTCTGTCCAAGCATCTTCTTTGATCAGTTCTGGATTACCCTGATCATCTAAATCAGGGATAAATAACTTAGGACCCTCTACAAGATCTGACTCACATGTCCCATAATCCCTTATCATAATCATGTTGGCAGTGTGCTTTATTGGTGCTAAAGTCCAACTGGAAATGTTTTAAAACAGCAGTCTGCAGTGGATATGTTTGAAAGTATAAATGTGTATGAGAGAGAAGGATAATTACTCTTTTCCTTTTATAATAGTTAATTGGTGTGACAGCAGCCATTTTATAAGTATTTTTATACAAAATCAGCTTTTCTCATACAGCTGGACAAACCATTCCATTATATGCTTTATGAATCACTCTTCAGAATCTCCTATTTAAAATGACGATAGTCTTAGCTGTTGAAGAATTGGTATGGTTCCTTCACAGTCCCTTCAGTCTTCCTAAACGTGCTGCTTCTTTGAACAGTACAGCTTGGATGTCCTTCTGACCACAGGGTTCAAAGGGGGGTTAACAAAGAATTCTTAAGAGAGGCAGTTATATATTATAACTGATTGCTTATTTGAGATCTTCACATTGAGGGGGTTTTCTAATTGCAGTGCAGCAAATAAGCATGGCTAGAGGATAATTTCCTTCCTTCCGTTATTTGCGAACTGCTGTAAATCGATGGTTTGAGATACATCCAGAACAAATAAGCAAACACTATTACTATCAAATTAAAAATAGTCAGCTTTTCCCTTGATGCCAGAATAAAATTAATGTTGATGTCAGTCTGGCTTCCCAAAGAAGAATATTGCATAGTTTTACTACCACGCTTGAAACACACGTCTCTCACTTTATGCAAACTTGTGATGGATACTTTTGGTGGGGTCCAAGGGAAGAACTTTTTCTGCCTTGGCCTCCGCCCTTTGGAACATCTTGCCACCAGAGGTGAAATCTGCCCCCTCTCTTCTGACCTTCAAGAAAAGCCTTAAAACCTGGCAACGCCAGCTGGCACGGGAGCTTGAAGCAGTAGCTCTAGGGTCTAGGCTAGGGGTGGTTGGTGTAGTAACGATGAAGGCACCGCTTGCTGCTCCCCTCCAAACCCGTGTGATTGTTTTAAATTGCTTTTAATCCTCTGCAATTTTAATTTACTTTTATATTTATAATTGTTTTATTTCTATGGTTTTTTTTTATACGTTGTAAGCCGTCAGAGTTCCCTCAAACAATGAGATGGGTCGCATACAAATGTAATAAATAAATAAATGAAGTAAAACAGTGTTCCATCCAGCTGCTGTATCCTTGAAAATCAACCAATGCATATAATAAATTTTAGTCATGTTATGAGAGGATTTATTTATTTATAAGGGTTATAAGACTGTCTAATTCAAACAGTGTGACTCTGGGTAGGGTACCATATAAACAACAATAAATAAAAAGAAAAAAGAACACCTTATAACAATAAATGGACAATATATAAATGTAAAATGGTGATGAATCATAACAAAACAACCATAGTGGGACTCCCATTCCATAGGCTCCTTATTAGATCTGGGGGAAGAGGCAGGTCTTAAACAGTTTTCCTAAAGGCAAGAAGAATTGGGGATTGCATATTGGGGGTGGGGTGGTGATGGTGAAAGCAGTGCAACAACATAAAAAGTATGCTTCCTAGGTTGCATAATATAATGGCAAGATTTAAAAGAAAGCTCCTGGAGCTCACAGACTAGTGTGGGCATTAAATATAAAGCATCTAAAAGTATTTATAATTATTAAGTAACAACAAAGTAATAACAAATTATAGTTACAGGATATGTACTACAGCAGGAGTCCCCCCCCCCCGGGCATGGGTGGCACAGGTGAGCAAAACTGCACATGCGTGGGATCTAGGTTGTGTTCTCCCCCCCTCTCCCCCCCCCCCGTCCCTGGTGTCAAAAATGTTGGAGACTGCTGCACTACAGCAGGGCTTTTCAACCAGTGGTACGGGTACCACCTGTGGTACATTGGCACCTGGCAGGTGGTACGCAACCATCCTAGAAAAGTGGTAGCAGGGGAGGGGAATGAGCTGAACCGGTGGCAGCACCGCACAAGCCTGAGCGAGAGATGGCTGGAGCTGCAGGATTGTCAGGGCTCAGCGGAAGCGCCAGGATCAGGGCCACTTTCCAGCTGATCGGCACTTCTTCGGGACTGTCAGGGCTTAGTGGAAGCGCCAGGATCAGGGCCAGGCTCCAGCTGGAGCTCAGCACTGATCCTAGCGCTTCTTCTGAGCCCTGAAGAAGCACCAATCAGCTGGAATGTTGCAGCATCTCCAGAGTCTTGTGATTTACATTCAGATGTTTGGTAACTGATTCATATTTATGACGGTCACAGTGTCCCAGTGGATGGGAATAAAAACTAAACATCCCCACCCCACCCCCACTGCCAATCCTCAACAGAAATGAAACAGGAGGAAGAGCGCCGCCGGATGGGCAGGCAGGTGTCTTGCTCGGCTGCGGCTTGGGGGGCACTTTTTTCAGTGCCATTGTTACCTCGAACAGTCACTAAGCGAACTGTTGTAAGTCGAGGACTACCTGTACTTTATTACTTTTTTCCTTTTTTTTTGGTCATCAAGTTTTTGACACCTTGCTAGGCGACTGGTGGTACTCGGATATTGCCATATCCTAAAAGTGGTACAATGGGTGAAAAGGTTGAAAAGCCCTGCACTACAGGATGCTGGCCCATCAGGATTCAGTGGATCCTTTGTTTCAGAGTTTGTTTTGCCTGTTCATATTCTATCTTAAGGGCTTACTTGAAAAGGTTGAATTCAGTAGCCTTGATCCATGTAGATTGAAAGTTGTCCAGAAAAAGTAATGATGCTAAGCCTAGAGGAAAAACGTTGGTTTTAACCAAAAGTTTATGAAGCTAGACACTTTTATCATACCTGTCTCTAATTGTGCATGTGTTTTTGAGACACAATGTTCTCTTGCCTAGGGTATATTGATAGATACCGAGTTTTTTATACATGTGGATTTTATTGTGATGTTTCAGTCAGTGAGTTATTGTTGTTTTGGATGTTGTGATTGCTGTCATGTGTTGTAAATGATTCGGAGGTTTGTAGATAGGCTGGAAATTAGTTTTGTCACACTCCAAAAGTGCGGGAAAATTAATTAATTAAGAAATCAAGGCGTACCTATAGGCACATTGTACTTGTATAGAAAACAATGGAAAGCCAGGGTTTTGAATTGTATTTCTGGTCATTCTGCTTTATCATATGCTGTAAAAAAGATATTCATATGCTTGTATTTAACCATAGCTTTTTATGGTCTGTTTGTTGGAGTTAAAAGTAGTTTTGATTGAGCAATGGCCAATTTTAGGTATCTTTCCTTTCTCCTTTCATTTGCTTCTTCTTCTGGTGTGTTAATTGCATTTCACATTTGAACAATTGTGATTTCTGGAATACCTGAAAATACAGATTTTCCAGAACTATTTTTCTTTTGATATTTTCATTGTTCTTCTTATTTATTTAGGCAATAAAAGAATTCTAATGGGAGCACTGTTCTGAAATTCGGTTTTGCTGGATGCCATTATGGGTGAGTTCCTGAAGTTACTAGGGTTTCAAACATGTGCCTGAGAATGTAATAATCCAATTCTGAATTTAAATAATAGTAAATGATGAGTAATATTAAAACTCCATGGGAGTTTTTTTTAATCACATTATTGTATGAATATAATAAAATACAGTTGCTGCTGAAGTAAAATATAAATGAACGAACACTACCAATACTACTATCTAATATCAAGTTGTTGAGATCTGTATTATGAATGCTCTTAAAGTTACAATGCATACTATCCTTATTCTACTTATGCTTCTTAATTGATTAGTTTTTTTATGATTTTTAAAAACTTAGTTTGAAAATTACATTTCCTTGTTTCATTTTTATTTAAATAGATGAACAGCAAGCTTTGAATTCAATCATGCAGGATTTGGCAGTTCTTCATAAGGCAAGTCGTCCTGCTTTGCCGCTTCAAGAAATGGGAAAGGGAAAGGGAAAGTTAACTTCACCCAAAAAACAGGTAATCATATAATGTGTTTGCCCAGCACAGTGAAGAATTTTTGCCTATATTATAATTTTTACATTGATTTGTGGTATGTACATTTTAGAAATTGAAATGAAATAGTTTTAAAATTACATAACAGATTTTAAACATAGGTGCTGTATATACTAGTTTATTTTTTGTGTATTTCTAATCAGTATGATAACTAATAATGCTTCAAATGACTGGATAAAATTCACATACAATCCTTGCCTCCAGATACATATTTTTATAAGCTTGTGGAAAAGACATCTTTATCAATGCCACTGACCACAATAAATAAGTTTGTATAATTCTCTTATAGAATGATGTACGAGTCAAATTTGAACATCGAGGAGAAAAAAGGTAAACAGTAATTTATTTAAGCAAATTTCTGTTATTTTCTGAATATGAGAACTTTTTAAAAATTTTCACTGTTTCATAAGTTTATAGAATCTTGACTTAATTTAAAACTACCTAATCAACATCAATGTTTGAAAACATAAGCAAACATTTTTTAAAAAGTCCTGTACAGGTTATGGTTGCAATTGGTTCAGGAACTTCCATCACTTAAACAATGAAGTCCTAAGATGCAATGTTACATAACTACATTGTTTAGCAATGGCAGGTCCAGCAACCCCAGTAACTGTCTTAAACCCAGGACTTTGTGGGTCATTAAGTGGGAAGAGTCAGGAGTCCCAGGCCAGCAGGTGGAATGGGGGACGCCGTGGGCAGAGGCTCCGAAGTGCAGGCAGATGGGCAAGAGATGTAGGTGCTATGGAAACAGGCAAACGATGGGGAAGGGTGTTGCAGGCAGGCCATACAGAATATGGGTGAATGTCACTGGGTGGCAGGGATGTCCCGGAGGCAGGCATTACAGAATGCAGGCAGGTAAAAAAGTGGCAAGAGTGGCTTTTGACTTCTATTCAGGCTCCCCATTAGCTTTGCTTCAGGGAAGCTGGCAGGGAATGTTGTAAATCATGATAATGTGACATTGGGGATGCTGCAATGACTGGAATTCTGAGGACTTGTTGTTAAGTCCCCTTTTCAGCACTGTTATAATTTTGAACAGTCACTGAGCAAGTGTAATAACCCAACACCTATCTATAAATGTATGAGGATTTTTGTTTTATTTTGAATTTCTGTTTAAAGAATAGATGAAATAATATACTATATTGTAATGTTTAGGTTTTTATTTCAGTCCAAGATAGCTAAATAGCTAGACAGACGACAGACAGACAAACAAACACAGACAGACAGACAGTGTTTTTTAGGATGGTTACATAAGGTTACATAATTAGCCTACTCAACCAATAATTAACCTCAAACTATAGATACAACAGAAATGTAAGCTTATGGTTATCCTGGCAAACAAATTTTAATATGCTGGTATATTGTGTTCCATATGAAATTGTAAATCATATAGTACAAATTATTTTTAATATATTCCTAAAATTATTTCTAGAACACTTGACTGAGTTAAAATGTTGCAAATTAAAGTTTAGTTGAACTTGGTTTATCCTGTTATACTTGTTGCAATTCTTAAGTAGATCACTTCCTAGGATTTCTAATACTAGGAAATCTGTATAGGCCTAGCAAAATAATCTTTTTACTGTCAACTAGCTCATTAGCCTCCTCTTACAGGGTGAAGAAATAAGGTGCAATTTGATTATTGCATTGTGCAATATTTTGAGATACTGTTATGTCTACCAGTCATAGACTAGGTGTAATTCAAGTTGAAATTTCTCCCTTTGAAAGGGAAGGATAAGGATAAGCCTTTATTTAGTCCTTTGTAGAGGCAAAGAAAGAAATGAGAGCTCGATCCTCCATTACAATTGAATTCAGCTCATGTGGTTTAATTGTTGGGAGAAGTGGTTTGCCTTTTCTCTTTTTCAAGATGGCACTGAAAATAAGTTTGACTTTCATAATTACAATTTGTAACTTCTTTCATTTCTGTAGATTATTTCTAATAAAAGTTGTATCCTACTTTATAGAATACTACAGTTTTCTAGACCTATCAAGCTAGAAGATCTTGCATCAAAAGCTAAAGTTGCCTTTGGACAGTCCATGAATTTGTATTACAGCAATAATGAGGTAAAATAATGTTTTTTAGACTATTCTTTGTAATGTTGATATAGTGAAAACTTGGTGACGGAACTACTTGAAGCTCTGAAACATATTTAAGATTTGCAATAGGTTACACTCCATGTTGTGCCATTTATATTGTGGCTTTTTGTTTTCATAAAAATAATCTTTCTCATCAGATCATGTATTGATGTAATAAGATTTTCAGTGTATTTTGGGAAACAAGAAAACGAAATAAAAATATTTGATGCTGTATCTTTATTTTTAAAGAAATGTAATACCTTTGGAAGATATGATTGGGAAGTAACAAAATGTACTGTATATTATTAAATATAAAATCTGTGAATTGGTTAGAGTTTGCAGAATATGATCACTGTGTAACTCAGAAGCAACAACCTTGTCTATAATGAGATATTAAAAGTATACCATTATTAAATAATTAAACTAAATAAACAATTAAGAGGAAGATTGAACAAAAACAACAAGCAGTTCAGCTTACCTTTCTGACTGTATTTAGCCAGAATGCTAGAAATGCCATTACCTTTTAAAGTAATTTCTATAAGAGTTGGCAGAAACTATTCATCATTAAAGATTTTATCTTCTTCATACTATTTGCCATTCTAGCTATGCCATACCCTTCTCTAAATCTGTATATTCACTAATTCAACTAATTCAGGTTTGGCTAAGTACTATAGTTAAGGCATTAGGCTAGAAATCAGGAGACCTAGTCCCATCTTTGGCACAAAACCAGCTGAATGACCCTGAGCCAGTTATTCCTTCTTAGCCCTAGAAAGGAGGCAGTGGCAAACCATTTCCAAAAATTCTTGCCAAGAAAACTGCAAGAATTTAGTCCAAGCAGTCACCAGGAATCAACACTGAGCTTAAGGCACAAATAAATCTTTTCGAAATGTGATGTTTGCTGCCTTGAGTTCTTTATAAAAATGATAAAGGCAGGATCTTTAGTTTGTGAAATAGATAATTAAATTTCAAACTATAAAATGTTAACATATATGTTTATGTTGAAGTTTATGTTATCTTTCAGGAACTCAATCAGGTAAAGCAAAGTTGCAGAGTTAAAAAAATAGATGATAAAGATAATAAAAATATTTACTAAATATTGCTTAATAGTTAAATATTAAGAAACGTTTGTTTGTTTGTTTGTTTTGTATCCTGCCTTTATTATTTTTACAAATAACTCGAGGTGAACATATCCAACAGAACTTCCTTTGCCTGTTTTTCCCACCACAATAAACCAGTGAGGTGGATTGGGCTGAGAAAGAGTTACAGGCCCAAAGTCACCCAGCTGACTTTCATGGCTAAGGCAGGAGATGAATTCATGGTTTGTAGCCTGGTGCCTTAACAACTAGACCAAACTGCAAGAGAATTATAAATCATTAAATCATAACAAAACCATAAAAAATAAAATAAAATCATAAAATTATAACAATCTTTCTTTTTTTTGTGGTTCTGTAAACGTAACGTCAATCTTTTTGAATCTTATAAACTAGTCTAACGAATTTCAGGAAAAGGAACGAGGAAATACCTCTTTTATTATCAACTACTTTTATCGTGTAATCATTAATGTGGTGATGAAAATCAAATGTGGATTTATTTTTCTTTTGCCTATTTCCCTGTATTAAGAGTCCTTAATTTATTATGGCTTGCTAAATTTCAAAAAGTATAGCCATAAAGAACATATACATCTTTAACAAGTAGCTTTGGGATATGGGAAAACCTGGTTAATTTTTAGTATGGTTACATCTTTCCACTGACTACAGATCCTGCTTAGCCAAATTGTCATAATTAAATATCCTTTTTATGGTTCATTTCTACCCATTTTCTATCACGCTGTCCCTTAGTTCTGCTAAATACTAATTATTGAAGACAGTTGGTATTGTACAGTTAATTTTCAGGTCACAATATCTATTGTGTATATACGTTATTTATATTTAACTTGCACTTTAATCTTGTGAATTTTTCCTACGTATAGCTGGTAATTCCATTAGCTGTCCAGGATGATCTGGACAAAGCTGTGGAGCTCCTTGATCGCAGTGTTCACATGAAGAGCCTCAAGATTCTGCTTGTTGTTCATGGAAACACACAGGTGTGTTAAAGCATTGTGTAAATTTGTATATTGCTGTAACACGCTTCCTCTGTTGTTTGCCCATGATCCCTAACAACCTGATTCCTCTGGAAAATTGCCATCTGTCCCCTTCCTTTATGGAGGAGTCTTTTTCTTTGGGTTCTACTACCGGAAAGCCACAGAACTCTTTATTTTCATTAACAAGTAATCTTTGATGAAATCTACAAAAAAAATTTGAGTCAAAATTATTCTTTGAATAATGTCTGCATGAATTCTCATTCTCTGTCTTGTAACACATTAAGTTTGGTTATTTTCATGTGCACATTATCTGTATTTGTCGCTCACAAAATCCAAGTGTTTGTGTGTGTGTGTGTGTGTAATATAATAAAATTTGATAATGATACAGTACATGTTGCATGTAATAAGCCATGTTTTGTATGTTCACAGAATATTAATGAAATATAAATTGCAATCAGAAAACTTGTTATATAATACCATGTTTTTGCTTTAAAGGTTACAAATATTTTTTAATAGTTGCCTCATTAGAACCAGTAGGAGAGAAAGATTGTAGGCAAAGCCCAAAACAATTTAAGCTATATTTTGATTGTTGATAGCTATCCTTCTTAGTGAGATGTGTGCAGAAATACTCCCAGGTGTGCCAAAAACTTTATTTTCCTATTTCTGAGTAATCTCAATACATTTTAACCTTTCATTCTTGCTATCATTATAATCTTAACATTTGGAATGTGTGCACTTGGGAAATAATACTATATTATAATATCCTAGTTGAAAAGTGGAAAATTTGGGGGGAAATCCAGTATCATCAAACTGGAATTTTGTGCCGTGGGTTTTTGAAAAACCCTGTTCATCTGCGGTTCCATCTTCATAAAATTTGTGCCAGAAGTCCTCAATCCCTCAGAGCCAAATTTGAGGACTACGGAAAGGAGAAAATTAACTCCACCCATTATCATTTTAGGAAGTGGAAATGGAACGTTGGATGTCATCCATATTTATGTCAAAATGTTGCTTCTTTTTATAAGGGTAGAGATTTTTTTTAAGCATAAATAAATAATCATACTTTTCTTTCTAGAATAAC